CTCCGAGAGAATGCGCGACAAAGGAAAACTGTAAGTGGCATGAGTAATTCATGGTTGCTTTGCATAATCGGTCATGCTGCAAGGTATGAATGTGGAATAATCTGGCATGAGATCATTAGCGAAACGCAGCTGAGTTAGCCACTGAGCTAACGCATGCGCAGTTGTCACTAATTGAGAACAGTCCTTTTTTGAGGCCGCATTTTCAGTTTCTGCCCCAGGTACAGTTTACTAGGGTTGGAACCTTAACATGGCTTAGCTAGATTAAAGTATCCTAGCGAGGGCGCGACTATAATATCTGCTTGTCTGTGCCCATCGCTAAGCAGAGCAAAGTGTATGAACCTGTTCTGAGGGTTTAAAAAGGCGTGCTATGTCAAAGCAACTTAGTCAAGACTTGATGTGAGAGGGCTGTGTGACCCCCTCATCTAGAATTACCCCAATTTTGCTATACGACTAATGGTTTGAATTTCTAGAAGCGTGAACAAGATGAGCAGAAAGCGATGGAAGCGGCTCGTTGCTTTGCAGAACCGATTCGACGAAAGGCGCCATTACCAAAGAAATTAGTTAGCCTTTAGCTAATTATAAGAACGTTACTGGAATCCAATCATTTGTTATTTCTGAGTTGTCACATTTACTATTCGTTTTGTTTTGTACTGTCTAAAGTTTGAAATTGATTTAAATGAAGTTTTACGAGTTTTAAGTGTTCTGATAGGTTGGCGTTGAACGCGAGGCGATACTGACTTAATTGAAGGAAGTCTTAAGTTCATAAAGGTTCCACCATAGGTCTGCAAGTCCGTTCGCGGCACCGGTCTGTCAGTGGGTTCACTAGTTACTGGTATCGAATGACGCTCTCTCGTCTGTTGAGAGGTACGATTCCTAATTCCTAATCTGTAGCTGGTTCTTTCGAAGGCTTTCTGCTAACAACGCTCTCGGCTTTAAAGTTCGATCATCGTAAAACGTTCCTCGAAAATCGTTAAAAAATACTTAGGGGTGGGGTCGTATTTGGCACTTGCCTTATGTGATTTTGATTTTTTTTACTGTCCCCTCTCTTCGCTTCAGCCGCAATATAGACGCTTCCTTCGACGCACGGAATTTCGGCAGAAGTTGGTGGTGGAAGGGGGTCAGGGATGGTAGGAAGTTTTGGGAAGGGAGGCTACCTCGAAAGAAAAATAAGGTGGGTTGTATTTGGCAAGGTTTTCCATAACGATGATTCGCCTTGCTCGCGATTACCACATTGGAAGAATCCTTCCCTCATACAAGACACCTAGTCCGTCTTTGCGAAGATTGCCACTTCCGTGTTTCGAAAGTGAGCGACAAGTTCGCCGAGGTAATCGTTTCCCAAGTAGCTCCACCCACGTGCTCGGGCATCGCGGTCATTTCTATGTGGGGCGGTGTCTACCGTCTCGCTCTTAGTTCTGTTCGCTCATGTTCTCTGAGCTCGTATTTGAGCCAGGGCTAGCCCAATTGATGCTACTAAATCGTGCTCAGTTTGTCGGTCGTAGTGCAGCTAGGTGGCGCGGCATCCGGGGCAAGTCAGAGGCACTATTCGAATATGCGGCAGTTCACTCTGCTTTTCTCGCTCTAGCTGTAATGTTGTCGTTTGGGTTTCGATGTTAGAATATCGGTCTGTTGTCTGTTGTTCACAGATATCACTTTTGTAAGGGGGGCGAGCATATAGCTGACGAGGTGTACCGTACCATTTCGCTAAACTGGCCCAGGGCCACCACGACTGCTGGAATGGGCTTGCAGTATCTTCGATAAAGAGTAGTGTAACAGAATAGAGCTGAGCCCTTTGCTGTCTGGCTCGCATAGCTGGGGGCCACAGTGTCAAGGGGGCGTGGGTGCGGCCGGCCCGGCCCGGTTAGAACCTAATTTTCCGTGTCGTTCCGCTTGAACACGTGGTTGATTAACGGCTGGTGCCGGGCACGGCAATCCCCATACGCTTCCCGACTGTCGCGGCAGCTCCGCAGCGAACATTCGAGCTGTAAGTCGAGCTGCATTAGCTGGACGGCAAGAGCGTTAAGACAAGCGGCATGGCTGCGGACATCGATGCTGACTAATGCCTCTCTTCTGGCCGCATTAGTTTATGGGCAATCAATTTATTCCTTTTTTTTTCTAAATGGAAGCATGTTCAGTACAAAACATAATAATTTGATCATTTATTCATGGGCATTTTTCAAACGTATTTCAATGAATTCTTGGAACAGTTTAGGCACATCTATAAGTACAATCTCTAAGCAATTACCGGTACGAATTTCATTGTAAGAAATGGGGACAATTCTAGAAATTTCACCGGGTACCTCATGGTGCATGACTTTAAAAATCGCATCACAATGAACATCTGAATCATGAATGGAGAAAGGGTGAGACAATATAAATGTGGGCGGCGCTAGTTCAATATAGGTCCACATTATGGAACTTAAGCGCTAAAATTATATGTTAGGACATGTGGCGACATCGCTGTCCTGACACATGCTGCATTGCGGACCTGTAATGCCTTAGCGCAATGTGGGCAAACAATTAGCGACCTATAACTGATTGATGGGGTTTTATTAGTGATTTCAAACGCTTCCGTTAGCTATGATATGGATATAAGCTATGAATAGTACACGTAATCTATTTTATAATACCTAATCTATTAATTATTATATACATATGTCACACTAGAAGAGTGGAAAAGAAATAAAAACGATGCTATGGCAATGTAAAGAAAGTGAAACGCGACCATCTCCTGGCAAATACCCATGTAATCCGTCCAAGTATGGTCCGCGGAGGATAAAACTAAGTAGTGAAATTATAACTCTTGTTTGGCTGAGATCTGCATTTTCAATTTTTGTAAGTCACTGGCTAATTGATTAACTGTCTCGAGTAGATTTTCGAGTGCCGCTGTTTGTTGATCTGGTTTGCCTTGATCGGCGAGTCTGAATTTCATTCTGATTAGTTGAGAACTCATGATCATTTGAAGCTTGAGCGCTGGTCCGCAGCTCAACACCTTAAGACATGCTACGACGTCCCAACAGGGCCCCAGCCTGCGAAAGGTACCCCCTATGAGTCGTGGAAGACTCATCCTGAATCGTAGGAAGGGGGGAGGGGTGGAGGCGCCAGTGGTATTGGTTCCTATTAACTTGGCGCTAGGGCTTTTCTGTGTAGTGCGGGGTGAGGTAGCATCGCACTTGTTCCTAGATCCTTTTGTGAGGCTGCTTTTATACTCTGTGACTCGACGTGGGAGAATCAGTGTTTTGAGCGAAAAGTTTGATATCGATCGGTCGCGGGTCGCTAGCGTTTTCTGAGGACCGACGATTTGAGCAAATAAGCACCTCGAGGGTTTTAAGAGAGTCCGGATCTTGGGCGCTGATTAACACTCCAAATTTCCTTTTCGCTCAAAACACTGATTCTTCCAAAACGCCGATTCGCAAGGTATGAATGCAGCCCAACGCTGTTTTGGAACACTCACTATTGACCAGTAGATCACATGAAG